ACTGTTCGTTCAACAACTCGACACAATTGTCAATTTTTCCTTGTGTTGAACAAACGACCAAGCAGTCATCTATATATATATAGTAGAGTAACGGACCGAGGTCGATTATGGCGCTTCCACCTTAGACATGAATGCAATGGCAAGACTTGGTGCCAGTCGTCCCATTGCCAGCCCTCTCATTTGTGCGTAATACCTCCCGGACCATCTGAAGATTGAGCAGTTTAGGCACATCTTTAAGAGTGTCATCAGCTGCTGGATCGAAAAGCCGTACATGTTTATTGCTCTTTCGTGTTGTAAAAGGAGCCGGCGGATGGCTTGCATAGCGGAGTCATTCGACACGTTCGTATAGAGGGCAGTGGCGTCGAGAGACTTCACCACGTACGCGCTCTGTTGGTCGCGCGTTACGTAGGCGATCCAGGAACATTTGGGTGTTCGTTAGATGAGCTGGAATGTACTTCAACAACTGGGTAAGTATTAGGGTTATTAACCACGTTATTCTATCCGTTGGCCCGTCCACGCGGCTAATGATAGGTCTAACCTTAAATAACGATGGATCGGTAAACACGAGATCATCGCTGGATACTAACTTATGGGTCTTGATAAGTAAGTACAGAACGAGACATGTTGGTATGCCAACTTTGAGATGAGAGATCTTTTTAACCCAGCCGCTCTTGCCATTTTAACCCATTCGTTGTTTAACTTTCAGTACTTTTTGACTTTTAAATTCCTTCTCAGACGGTAGACGATAAAGGAAAGCATCTTCAAGGTTCTTTTCCGTTATCCCAACATCAAACTGATGCGGAATTACAACGAACTCTCCTCTCTTATCACTAACCGATAGTCTTATGTTTTTCGATCTTATCAGCTCTCGCACCTCCCGCATACCACGTTTTTGTATTTCAGTGAGGTTGGAGCAGTATCTCTTGGCGCGGTAGTGATTAAGGACTTTGAAAGTTTCATACTTAATCGTCCGAAATTTAATATCAACTTTATTATTGGGCTCTTGTTTTCTAAAGAACTGTTTGGTGAAATGGTGGTACTGGTATTGCTCCTACTTTTTGTTGTTCGCGCCTATTTAACGCCTCATCCCTAGCTTTTTTGCGGAGTCTATCCTGAACTTCATGTAAACTACGTACGACCCTAAGCAAGGTTATCTTAGAAATAGGTTCAGATGGTCAGAAGCTCGGTCACAATTCTAATAACGAGCGCGCACCGTCAGGGAAGGTCATGCCTCCTAGCACGCTTAGCCTTGAATTTCCTTGAACATTATTTATCCCACTACGATTCGTTTGATCTTCGCTGGCGGTGTTTTTGTATGCTCTTGAAGCCATGTTATGTGATTTACTCAAAAGGTCTTCGAATGTCTTCCGCAAAGTTGCTTTAGCATTAGACCTAATAGGGTTGCAAATCAACACTGACCCACCCACTATTCTACTCCAGAGGCGGTCCTCCAAATACTGAGCACAATAGTTTTCTTTCTTCTCGCACTTCTTCCACTTGTTGAACATCTGGTTTTGTTTGCTTCGCTTCAGACAGACAGACAGGTGCGTGGTGCTTGCAATTCGATGTCCAATACTCGGTGGTCATCCTCTGGCTGCCCGCATATTTCGTGTAGTCGTTTTCATTTTATGAATTTCGGAACGACTTATTGTTTTATGCAGAGGCGGAGAAAGTGTATCGCCTGTCGAGCTAGGTCGATCTTTTGCCTTAGTGACAGTGCTTATTTTGCAAGTCGGAAATATCTTGCTGGTACATCTTGTAGTAACTCTCACGTCCAACTTTCTATTAACCTCTGCATTGGAATATGAATGCGTCGTTTTCTTGTTCAGCAATCGCGAGGTTTTTAAACAGCATACAATTACTTCCATAGAGAAACACAATGATATGAACCATAGGCGACTATAATCAGCTGTTCTAAACTTCCTCATTGGAAGTCACGAAAAAAGCGGCTCTGAAGAAGGCGATACTGCCGAAACGTCAGCTAGTATTGTATTGTATTGTGTTTCTCTATGGAAGTAAATGTATGCTATTTAAACACCTCGCGATTGCTGAACAAGAAAACGACGCATGCATAATTTGCCCCACTGGTAGAGACGGTGACTGCATGAGTTCGGACACAGTCTATCTAATCTCTTGTAAAGCGTGCGGGAACGAATGTGTTGGCGGAACGGGTAGACCACTCTACCTACGTATAAAAGATCACCTAGTCGGCGAACGCTGACCAAATACTCCACTAGGCACGCATAGGACGCAGAGACATAACGGAGAAGATTTTAAAGTAGGGATTACGATCCGCCCAAGAATCAAGAACACAAGTGCGCAAAACCCTAGAGGCATTCCGGAATAATTCCAAGAATCCGAAAATGAATCGCAGGAAGGAATGCCTCATTATCACGCGTGATATTGGGGCAGTATATAAGCCTGTTATTTTGATGAGATGAGCACAATACGATTCCGTGTGAAATCGTGCGGTTGGTCTCCACGTGACATATTTGGTGAAAGACTCATAGAAAGCGTTGAGTGTGCAAAGACTCTGTGTTCAATGTGATTGAAATTTTGGTTCAGCATTTTCTCTGTTTTGTTATGGAGGTGTTTGGCCGTGTAGATTGCAGTCAGCTTGACTTTTCTTGGCTCTGAGGAAGGCGAAATCTGCCGAAACGTCAGCTTGTACGTAAATAAAAAAATAAAATAACACTTCATGTTTGCTCAATAAGAATATAAAGAATTGTTCGATCATTGCGGAGGTGAATAGAAATTCGGTCGTGGGAATAGTGGAGATAGTCTAACTGCGAAGCGGCGAAAAGCTGATTGATATCGGTCTGTTCACATATCATCCGTATGGCCAGTGTTAGTTGCATTACTTGTAATGTTGCAAATCACCAAGAAACTGCAGTGCCGTTCAACAAAGTTTCCATTATTCTGTTCTGTACGTCAAAACTACTCAGTGTTTATGGCTATGTTTAAAACCGAGATTTATTCACTAGAATCTTTTCGAGTGGGTAGATAGCACAGTGGTAGTAACGTTCGTCACCACGAGCATGGTGCTAGTTCGATTCCGCTTCGGGCCAACCAGGCCGCTCAATCCTCCGGGCTCGGGAAAAAAATGGCTCGTCATTTACAACACTAGAGAAGAGCTGTTCCTCGTAGCATGCTACAATAGGAGTCGGGGACGTTGGCGCCTTAACAAAGACGACTTTGGTCATGAATATAGATTTCTTCAAATATTAAGTAGACCCCACGGATCACCCTCATATGAGGGGTTCGAGCCGGCTAGTCGCGAGGCTACGTGGCGCGTCTCCAGGTGGCGGATGGGGGGGGGGGGGGGTTAGTCACGGACCAAAAGCGACCTTTGCTTTTTTGAGACGCAGGTAGATACAGGGGATAGACTCCCTGTTTTTACTGCGCTGATTTGGCACATAATTTCGGTATTTGTTAGGCGCATTCACGCGTGCGTGTGTGGGTGCGTTCCTGCCTATGCGGATTGTATTCTACGAGTCAATTCGGCCAAAAGCCTGCAATCATGTGACTGGGAACTATATCGGAAACGATTAGGAGTCGCCTTCACCAAATAAACTCCATTTCCACTATGGAAGAGCCTGGCAACCTACCCGTAAGTATACCCAGCCTCCACGTTCAGCGCCCAGCGAGCTATGCGTGGGTATCAAAAATGCTAAACACAGTAAAAAAAAGGGCTTCATTCTCCTGACCTCGAAAGAGCTCCCAATTTCGCAGCGTTGGGTAGGACGAGCGCGGAGAGTTTGCTGAATAACAGGGGCAATGGAGCCTGCCTGGATTACAAAGAACTGTGGTGACGATCTGTACCTACAATGCACGTACACTTGCATCCGAATCCTCGATAGAAGACTTGCTCATGCAAACAAGAAGGATAATGTACGACGTCGACGGCCTGGCCAAGACGAGAAGACGCCAGCATTTCAACGCAGTCTATGATACCGGAGAAGAACTGTTCCTCGGACATTAGAGGATTCGGCGGAGTCGGCGTTCTCGTCAAACGGATTTTTCCATGAACATCGGTTCATTCGAACAACTTACAGCCCAAATCGTACGTTTACGATTAAAAACACGTGGATCAATTCCGGATTTGACAATCTCCGTCGTTCACGACATCAAGCTATGACGAAGAAAAAGTCGAAGCGTTCGATATGGACTTGGAGAAGTTCCACAGAGAAGAGCATACATTCCTCAAGATAATCATTGGAGATTTCAGCGCCAAGACTGGACCAAGAGGAACGTCTGAAGAACGTCACATTGAGACCCACGGATCAGAATGGAACGAACAGGGTGGGCGACTGTCTAAGTTTATCATGGCGACCAAGACAATCCATGCTAACTCGCAATTCCAGAAGCCCCACCCTCAGCGCTGGACGTGGGAGTCTCCCAAAGGAGAGTAAAATAACGAAGTAGACCACCTGATAGTAAATAGAAGGCTTTGCCTAACCGATGTCGCTGTTGTTCCAAAATTCTACACGGGATCAGACCATCATCTCCTTCGTGCAAGATTCTATTTCTGGAGGAAAGAAGGAAAAGCCGCTAAATTCCAAAACCGAAGTCCCAGAACCACCGCAAACTGGGACTTATTCAATATGTATTCTTTCTTGATAAGCTTGCACGAGGTTGATAAATATCACTGAGTGAGGATGCCTCATTCGAGAAGATGGCTCACTGAGGAAGATCTGGCTCGACAGGAAGGCGAAGACGCAACGTCGAGGCGAACAACAAGCATGGACCATCGACTCGTATCACCGGCTCTGAGGAAGACGAAGACGTCGAAACGTTAGCCGAAAATAAATATATTTATCAACCTCGTGCAAGTTTATCAAGAAAGAATACATATTGATTAGTCACACCGAGGTTTAGGGAAGGTCGGTTTCGAAATATGGGACTTATTCAATTCATTAGTCGGCTGTTAGGAAGATGCCGTTGTCGATGACATCGACAAAGAATGCGTTCGGCTCATTCAACATCTTTACTTTATCGCTATGAAAACTGTGAGTTCGAAAGCCACCGAGAGATGTTTGTCTCCAGAAACACTCGAGATGATACACCAGCGTGGAATCGCACGAGCTGCTAGCAACCGCGAACTAATGTCCGAACTTGCAAAACAGTGCAGACAGGCAATGAAAGAAGATGTTAAAGAGAGAAGAGCAGCAGTAATGGTCGAAGCTGCAGAGGCTGGGAAAAGCATTCTCAAAGACCACTGAGGCTTCGTCAATTACAGGACCAAAATAATCGCACTCCGGCGCCCAGACGGAGCAGTTACAGCGTCCAGAAAGGCAATGGAGAAAATCACTCACGAATACTACTCGGATCTCTTTGGTAACCACATCCACCTTCTGTCATATGAAATAAAGGAGGATGGTTACGTTGCACCACCGGTTCTCCTTTCCGAAATCCGACATGTCATTTCGTCGGTGAAAAAGCGAACAACACCAGGTCGGGAGGGGATAAGATCAGAACACCTGAAGAACCTTCCGTCGGTCCTCGTAAACACACTGGCTCGGCTCTTTACACGTTATACTGTCTGAATGCTAGGTCCCTACTCAGGGGAAGACCAGCAGGACCGTGTTATCGTTCAAGAAGGGTGACCTACACGATATCGGCAACTATCGCCCAATCTGCTTATTGTCTGTCGTCTACAAACTTTTTACTCGAGTCATCCTAAACAGGATTGACAGAACACTAGACGAAGGACAGCCATGTAAGCAAGGAGGGTTTCGAAAAGGATTTAGTACGATGGACCACATTCACGTAGCAACATGGCTCTTTGAAGTACCGCGAGAGTACAAAAGACCTCTCTGTCTCACCTTCATCGATTTGCAGAAGGCCTTTAATTCAGTTGAGATAGAAGAAGTCTTGGAAGCACTTGATAGTCAAGGAGTACTCAGTACATGGGGTTCTTCGTGAGCTGTACAGAAATTTCACAACCAGGTTGTCACCATTCTACAACGACATTAACATTGACGTTAAAAGACCATCTCGTCGAAATTATTTACCGCCACCCACCAGAACGTCGTGCGAACATTGGAATGGATAATACGGGAGTGAATATCGATGGTCGGCAGTTACACCATCTTCGCTTTGCTGATGACATCGTCCTTATAACACGAAACATTAGCCAAGCGGAACGTATGCTTGACAACTTTGATAAAGCCTGTGGAAAGATTAGTCTTCAACTAAATCTTACAAAAACTATGTTCATGAGAAACGGATTGGCTTCGTATGCACCACTCACGCTCAACGGAACGAATATCTCCGAATGCTCCAGTTATATCTATCTAGGTCGGGAAATCAATATGATGAACAACCTAGCTCCAGAGCTGAGCACAAGGAAACGAGCGGCTTGGGGAGCTTTCAAGAGCATCGAGGATGTAGTGAAGAGAACAAGGAACACCCAACCTCGTGCCCACCTTTTCGACCCAACGGTACTTCCTGCCCTAACATATGCGTCAAAAACCTGGTCGCTGCGTAATCAAGGTGAAAGGTCACTCAGCGTCATCGAACGCGCAATCGAAAGGACAATGCTAGGAGTAACCCGTTCCACATAAGTAAGGGGTGGGATCCAAAACTCCGATCTGCGTCAACGATTAAAAATCAAAGATGCCGTTCTGTACGCCAAGCAGTCGAAGATAAGGTGGGCTGGACACGCAATGCGTATTAATGACAACCGATGGACAAGAGCATTTAGTGACTGGATTCTTCGGGATGTCAAACGTACTACAGGAAGACCATCGACCCGATGGTCAGAGTTCTTCACAAAGAGCCTTAAAGAAAAATATGGTGCTCGACGAGTTCCTAGAGCGAGCAGAACCCACTGGGCTAGTCATGCTCGCGACGGGGAAAAATGGAAGATTTACTGGCGCCCGCTCGAGTCATTCGACCGTCAGCGGGACTATAGGTGATACAGGTGATATATATACAAATGTGGAGCAGTGGTTGGAGGCACCACTGTGACACACACATGGAATCGATCCCAGCGTCCATGGCCCACCAAGCTTTCCATTCCTCCGGAGTCGGCAAATTGGTACCAAGCTTGTCTAGGAGGATAGCAGCATTTGTTCGATAGATCGGTGGGCCACCGCGAGTGATTAGAAAGGGCAGATATACATTCAATCACCTCCTAAGATACTTAGTGAAACCGAATGCATGGGACACCCCTCAGGGTTTGATGGATGCCAACAGCTTTATCGTTTTATCCTTCATATATGTGGAAATAATTTAAATTCTTTAATCCTGAAAGTGGCCAAGATTGAATTTTTGAAAAATTGAAAACGAAATAGAAGTTATTGAAATTCCCAACGCAATCCCGTGTTCACTTTCTGCAATCCAAGAAGGAACGCTTTGGCCTAGATAACTCAAGACTTCAGGGAAAACTGACTCGACCAACAATCAACGACATTCATGACAAAAAGAAAATCCTCAAGCAGTAGCCTAATCCACACGCAGAAATTTGCAACACCGCAGACCGCAATGGATATCGGATGCGAGGAAACGAATCAAATGCCTAAAGTGGTGGGATCTGCACAGTAGATACGAACGACAGGTCGTGAAAAGATTTAAAACAGTTGGTGAAACCATTAGTGATCTGCAGATTCGCTTGATCTTCACTTAAACTACTGATGTTTACTACGAGCTGAGACGTTTTAGCGCTTACTTGAAAGGAGGCATTATTTCTTCACCGAATGCATTGCCCTCAATTTATATCGGAATCTATGTGCTGATGTTTTTTCTTTTGCTGCTATGAAATTTGCACTTAATGTTCCGCATCGAAAAAAGACTACAAATTTCACTAGTTCAAACTCACAAGAGGGCAAATGTGCCGCAGCGGTCGGAGACGCCCTGCGACACACATGGAATCGATCCTCACGTCCATGATCCACCGAGCCTTCCATCCTTCCGGAGTCAAAAAATTGGTAGCAGAATTGTCTGGGAGGATAGCAGCACCAGCTTGATACATCGATAGGCTACGGCGAATCATTGTAAAGGCCTGATATGCATTCAATCACTTCCAAACGATGCGTAATGAAGTCGAATGCGTGGCGCATCCTTCCTGGATTGATCAGCGCCGATAGCTTTATTTTATTCTTTATTATACTCGCACATAAAGGCATCATATTCACTTTTCATTAGTACTAGTGCCAACATTGCATTTGACCATACAACCGTTTAGAATTGTGTCTTTCAACGTCGGTTTCAAATTTCCGCAATGGAGATGAGATTCTTGAAGAATGAAAGGGTCGGCGACCGTTCTCCTCTCACACCTCAATCGCACTGAAAGTTAAAAGAGGAGGCAACAAATTGGATGCCGAATTAAATGGTCGGAAAATATAAGGTTTGTCACCATGAAATCCGTTTTATGCTTGATTTCGGTAACAAAAATGATTCGATATCTAACTGCGCTTCGACGTTCGAATAGGTTCGACGAAGAATGGGTTCCGCACGAGAACCAGCGACATTCTATACAAGAAGAACGTTACGCGCCGAAACCCTTTTGTAAACCAAATCCGCCGTGAAGGAAGATTATTATAAATGTTTAGTCATGATGAAAGATGGGCTGCGGAGTGTTAGTAAGGTCGTTCATTACGAGAACAGTACTAGTTCAACACCGCCCCATGCTCACTAAGTGCCTCATACTTCGGAGTCAGAAGGATGATACCACAGTTGTTTTGGGAACAACATACGCATACTTCCTGCAATCCGAATGCTCGCGCTCTATTCCGGTATCTCAGAACTCCACGGAAAATAAGCTGGAACAGCATCCATCGACATTAATAAAGTAGACGAAAATCCTTAAGCTGCAGTGGAACATACTCGCAAAGAGTTCGAAGATGTTTGTGAATGATTGATGGAAGAAAACGAATTGAATGAAAGAAGTGCTGGATTTCACACAATATGATGTAAAGATGGGTTGTTTAAACAAAAAAAAATTGGTGGTGATCTGGTGAACAGTCTCCACTTCTTGGATTCTGGTAAACTATTACAGGCGAAGGTATTGTGAGGAAGTCGAATGCTGTGACAATTACGACATCTACAACTTAAGTCGGCCAATTTCTAAGCACAGGTTGCTGTACAAAATACCCAGAAGTTGGCAAAATTGCTAAACATTCAGACTAAGCAACTGAACTTCAGCTAAAAACTGCTCTGAGTTGAGATATAAACATATGGAGCTAAATGTCAAAGTCTAACATTAATATCTTAACTTTTCGACCTTAGCTTTAAGCTCAATAACCCAAGAAAACACTGACTACCCTAACATCAATGTGCTGCTAACGAAAGGGATCTGGATGATGCTTCTTGAAAAAGTGTATTCTATCAATTGATGACAAAGTCGGAGTATGATAGAAAGAATTTCCGTCTGTTTTGATAAAATGACTTTAGTTGACTCATACATTGCTACGAAATTCAACGGAGAAAAAATGAAACATAAACGAAGTCAAACAACCCACAAGAGTGCTTGAACTATAGATAAAGGACAATGAGGAGCCAGACTATACAATCGAAACTGTATTTGATGAAAATAGCAAGGGACGATAATGCCAAGCTCTAGACAAAAATTGTTGATGAAGAAGCAGAATACACTGAAGTATTCAAGCGTCTGATCATAGAACGACTAGGATGACAATAGGATTAGAAAATTCGAACCGAAAATGTGTTTCGTCATTCTACTCAGTACCATATTTTGAGAAAGGAGCAAACATGAATGACACGTTATCGGCTCAGCAGACGTTCGCTAGTTCAATTTCGCTCAATTAAGGAGGGTGCTTCCTTCTTCGTATGGAAGTACAGGGTTTCTAGGTGAACGGCATTCATACTGCTGGATTCAGTTGTTTCCCACATTATCGTTTCCTTGGCAGTGAGGCTGCCATCCCTTTAAAGTGTTCTTATGTGAAGAGTTATGCATGCACATCATGTAAGTTACCTGGTGAAGGTTGTCTACAATGTGAGCAGAGCTCGGCAGTGAAATCTTATGAGCTGTTTTTCAGAAACGAGTTCGGCATTACACATTTAATAGAACACTTCTTACTAAGCAGTTCTCTCTACATTACCTCGAATTGTAAATTTACTAGCCACAAAAGAAATAATTACATTTTTTGAATAGATCAAGGGTGGAAATCTTCTCCACTTCGCCACAAGTTAGATAATCATCAGATTTTAATGAAAGATATTTAGAGCTTTTTAAAGATCTATTTTAACACGAATTTTA